ATATAGAGTACTGGTAGTAAGGTACATATAGAGTACTGGTAGTAAGGTACATATAGAGTACTGGTAGTAAGGCACATATAGAGTACTGGTAGTAAGGTACATATAGAAATGCTGGTAGTACTGGTAGCAAGGTACATTATAGAGGTACTTGTAGTGCTATTACTTGTAGTACTGGTAGTGCTGGTAGTACTGGTAGTAATGGTATTAATGGTAGTACTGGTAGTAAGGTACATAAAGAAGTGCTGGTAGTACTGGTGGTACTGGTAGTAGGGTACATATAGAGGTGGTAGTACTGGTAGTAGGGTACATACAGAGGTGGTGGTAGTACTGGAAGTACTGATAATACTGGTGGTCCTGGTAGTATTGGTAGTGCTGGCAGTACTGGTAGTATTGGTACATACAGAGGTGTTCGTAGTACTGGTAGTAGTGATAGTGCTGGTAGTACTGGTAGTGCTTGTAGTACTGGTAGTAGTGATAGTGCTGGTATGGCACTGTAGTATAGTGCATATATGTGGTATGGTATGTGATATGGTACATATAGAGGTGATGGTAGTACTGGTAGTGCTGGTAGTATTGGTACATATAGAGGTGCTGGTAGTATTGGTACATATAGAGCTGCTGGTAGTACTGGTAGTATTGGTACATATAGAGGTGCTGGTAGTATTGGTACATATAGAGCTGCTGGTAGTACTGGTAGTATTGGTACATATAGAGGTGCTGGTAGTATTGGTACATATAGAGTGCTGGTGCTAGTAGTCTGGTAGTATGGTAATTATATGAGTGCTGGTATGGTACTAGTAGTGTGGTAGTATTGGTACATATAGAGGTGCTGGTATATGGTAATAGAGTGCTGGTAGTATTGGTACATATAGAGAGGTGCTGGTAGTATTGGTACATAATAGAGGTGCTGGTAGTAATATGGTACAGTGATAGAGTACTGGTAAGTATTGGTACATATAGAGTATTGGTGTGCTGGTAATACTGGTAAGAGCTGGTAGGTACATATAGAGTACTGGTATATGGTACATATAGGTGCTGGTAGTATGGTCTTAGGTCTGGTAGTACTGGTACATATAAGGTGCTGGTAGTACTGGTACATATAGAGGTCTGGTAGTACGGTACATATAAAGGTGCTGGTAGTACTGGTACATATAGGGTGCTGTAGTACTGGTACATATAGAGGTGCTGTAGTACTGGTACATATAAGAGGTCTGGTAGTACTGGTCATATAAAGGTGCTGGTAGTACTGGTACATATAAGGTGCTGGTAGACTGGTACATATAGCGCTGGAGTCGTACATATAGAGGTGCTGGTAGTACTGGTACATATAAGGTGCTGGTAGTACTGGTACATATAAAGGTGTGGTAGTATCTGGTACATATAAGGTGCTGGTAGTACATGGTACATATAGAAGTGCTGGTAGTACTGGTCATCATAGAGGTGCTGGCTAGTACTGGTAGTACTGATATAAGGTGCTGGTAGTACTGGTACATTATAAAGGTGGTGTAGTAATGGTACATATAGAAGGGTGATGGTAGTACTGGTACATATAGAGGTGCTGGTAGTAATGGTACACATGAGGTGCTGGTAGTACTGACAAAGTAGACTGGTAGTACTGGTACATATAGAGGTGCTGGTAGTACTGGTACATATAAAGGTGCTGGTAGTACTGGTACATATAGAGGTGCTGGTAGTACTGGTACATATAGAGGTGCTGGTAGTACTGGTACACTATAAAGGTGCTGGTAGTACTGGTACATATAGAGGTGCTGGTAGTACTGGTACATATAGAGGTGCTGTACTGATATTGCTGGTAGTACTGGTGCATATAAAGGTGCTGGTAGTACTGGTACATATAAAGGTGCTGGTAGTACTGGTACATATAGAGGTGCTGGTAGTACTGGTACATATAGAGGTGCTGGTAGTACTGGTTACTATAGAGGTGCTGGTAGTACTGGTACATATAGAGGTGCGAGTATGTACTGGGATATACTAGTAATATGAGGTGCTGGTAGTACTGGTACATATAAAGGTGCTGGTCTAAGTACTGGTACATATAGAGGTGCTGGTAGTACTGGTACATATAGAGGTGCTGGTAGTACTGGTACATATAGAGGTGCTGGTAGTACTGGTACATATAAAGGTGCTGGTAGTACTGTTTAAGGTACTGTACTATAGAGGTGCTGGTAGTACTGGTACATATAAAGGTGCTGGTAGTACTGGTACATATAGAGGTGCTGGTAGTACTGGTACATATAAAGGTGCTGGTAGTACTGGTACATATAGAGGTGCTGGTAGTACTGGTACATATAGAGGTGCTGGTAGTACTGGTACATATAGAGGTGCTGGTAGTACTGGTACATATAAAGGTGCTGGTAGTACTGGTACATATAAGGTGCTGGTAGTACTGGTACATATAAAGGTGCTGGTAGTACTGGTACATATAAAGGTGCTGGTAGTACTGGTACATATAAAGGTGCTGGTAGTACTGGTACATATAAAGGTGCTGGTAGTACTGGTACATATAAAGGTGCTGGTAGTACTGGTACATATAAAGGTGCTGGTAGTACTGGTACATATAGAAGGTGGCAGTACTGGTAGTACTGGTACATATAGAGGTGCTGGTAGTACTGGTACATATAAAGGTGCTGGTTAGTACTGGTACAATTAAAGGTGCTTGGTAGTACTGGTACATATAAAGGTGCTGGTAGTACTGGTACAATAAAGGTGCTGGTAGTACTGGTACATATAAGGTGCTGGTAGTACTGGTACATATAAAGGTGCTGGTAGTACTGGTACATATAGAGGTGCTGGTAGTACTGGTACATATAGAGGTGCTGGTAGTACTGGTACATATAGAGGTGCTGGTAGTACTGGTACATATAGAGGTGCTGGTAGTACTGGTACACATAAAGGTGCTGGTAGTACTGGTACATATAAAGGTGCTGGTAGTACTGGTACATATAGAGGTGCTGGTAGTACTGGTACATATAGAGGTGCTGGTAGTACTGGTACATATAAAGGTGCTGTGTAGTACTGGTACAATATAGAGGTGCTGGTAGTACTAGGTACATATAAGGTGCTGGTAGTACTGCTTTCAATAAGTCCGGTAGTACTCACGTATGAGGTGTGGTAGTCGGTAACATAAGGTGCTGGTAGTACTGGTACATATAAAGGTGCTGGTAGTACTGGTACATATAGAGGTGCTGGTAGTACTGGTACATATAGAGGTGCTGGTAGTACTGGTACATATAGAGGTAGCTGGTAGACTGGGTACATATAAGGTGCTGTTAGTTACTGGTACATATAGAAGTGCTGGTAGTACTGGTACACATAAAGGTGCTGGTGTACTGGTACATAATAAGGTGCTGGTAGTTACTGGTACATATAAGGTGCTGTAGTACTGGTACATATAGAGGTGCTGGTAGTACGGTACATATAGAGGTGCTGGTAGTACTGGTACACATAAAGGTACTGGTAGTACTGGTACATTAGAGGTTGTGGTAGTACTGGTTACAATAGAAGGTGCTGGTATACTGGTACACATAAAGGTGCTGGTAGTATGGTACATAATAAAGAGTGCTGGTAGTACTGGTACACATAAAGGTGCGGTAGCACTGGTACTATAGAGGTGCTGGTAGTACTTGGTACACATAAAGGTGCTGGTAGTACTGGTACATAAAGGTGCTGGTAGTACTGGTAAACATAAAGGTGCTGGTAGTACATGGTACAAATAATGGAGCTGGTAGTACTGGTTACATATAGAGTGTGGTAGTACTGGTACACATAACGGTGCTGGTTGTACTGGTACACATAAAGGTGCTGTGAGTATGGTACATAAACAGGTGCTGTAAGTACTCGGTACATATGAGGTGCTGGTAGTACTGGTACATATAGAGGTGCTGTAGGTATGGTCAGTGATAGACAGTGCTGAATCTTGGTTCAGGAAGTGGCGTCTGCTGCGTCCACAAGAGACTTCACATGTGCCACTGGATCAAATCAGACGAACCCCCCTGGTGGCTTCCAACCCAAGCCATCACCTCAGAACCAGGGGCGTAGTTGGCAACCATTGAAACCCCGTCAGAACCAGGGGGAACCCAATCAGTGACTTGTAAACAAAGCAGTGTGGAATATTCCGGTGATACTACAGTGTGTAGTTCAGGTCTTCATATATATACCTCTCCCAGCGGTGGTATATATCCCTCTTTTAGTGTATATACCATCTGGGATAACCCATAAGCCTGAAGTCCACTTCATTAAGAGTGAGAAATTTCCTAGAATGCATGTACCATAAATTACTTTTGTTTACGTTTATATATACCTCTCCCAGGGGGGTATTATCCCTAGGTAGGTTCAATGGTATCATATAGAGGTATCCCTCTAAGTCTACCATATAACTACCTGTGACATTCATATAGACGTAATATTCAATAATCTTTCATATATACCTATGCATGGGTATATATGATACTCCAGGGATTACCTAAGTCCCAAAACCAGCCTGGTATACTATACATATGATAGCTGTAGATACACTACGTCATTAACGACTTAATTACACAATAAATAAATCTATTGGTAATATAATAGGGAGGAGTATATAACTGGGCATGATCCAAGGTATGACCCCTGGACCTGAATATATGATGTATGAGGTATTACTCATGAGTATACTTGTACAGGTATTACCGCAGTTAAGTCACAGAGTAATATGTGCCTGATATACCACCTATGTATTCCACCTAGGTATCCAGTACCCTCAATATCATACCTCATATACTCCAAAATATACCCAGAACGCCTATCGTTCTCTGTAAACACCTGTAAACTCCGATGTGATACTTGGTTATTCAATAACCTGAGTATACCTCCCATGGTATATCCCCTGAGTTATCTCCCTGAGTATACCTCACTTAGATATTAACTCCCTGAGTATTACCTCCCTGAGTTATCTCCTGAGTATTCTTCTAGTATACTCCCTGAGTATACCTCCCTGAGTATACCCTTCCGTGAGTATACCTCCCTGAGTATACCTCCCTGAGTATATCTCCCTGAGTATACCTCCCTGAGTATACCTCCCTGAGTATATCTCCCTGAGTATACCTCCCTGAGTATACCTCCCTGAGTATATCTCCCTGAGTATATCTCCCTGAGTATACCTCCCTGAGTATACCTCCCTGAGTATACCTCCCTGAGTATATCTCCCCGAGTATATCTCCCCGAGTATATCTCCCTGAGTATACCTCCCTGAGTATACCTCCCTGAGTATACCTCCCTGAGTATACCTTCCGTGAGTATATCTCCCTGAGTATACCTCCCTGAGTATACCTCCCTGAGTATACCTTCCGTGAGTATATCTCCCTGAGTATACCTCCCTGAGTATACCTCCCTGAGTATACCTTAGCGTTCTTAAGTGACTTTTACAGTGACCCCCACTTACACCACAACAGTGAAAGTGATTAGATAACTTTATTCACCGCAAGGTTTCACTGTTATTTAATCTGAAGGTTTCCTAGCCTAGCCAGGCTTCCAGCCTCGTTATATATACCGTCTGGAGGGATATATATATACCTCAGTATAAGTGTCTTTGCAGTGCTGCCCACTGCAGTGAAAGTTTCTTAATTAACAAATTCCTCCCATTAAGTTCCACTGAAATTAAATTTAGAGGCTTCCTAGCCAAGCCAGGCTAATATATACCTCATATATACCGTCTAGAGGGATATACACCTCAGTGTCTTTACAGTGCCCACTGCAGTGAACGTGCTTAAATTAACCAATTTCACCCACTTAGGTTCCACTGAAATTAAATTTAGAGGCTTCCTAGCCAAGCCAGGCTAATATATACCTCATATATACCGTCTAGAGGGATATACACCTCAGTGTCTTTACAGTGCCCACTGCAGTGAACGTGCTTAAATTAACCAATTTCACCCACTTAGGTTCCACTGAAATTAAATATTTTAGGTATAATAGCCTCGCCAGGGTAACATATTCCTGATATATACCCCCCTAGAGGGATATATACTGGGTGTAGGTATACACCCAGGTTAGAGGGAGGATGACTGTACCTCAGCACGAGACACAGCCAAGAAAGGGAGATATGGAGGGACAGGAAGACGGTAATATAGTCAAAAGTATGGGCAGTCCTCCTGATGGTGGATGGGGATGGATGGTCGTATTTGCTTCCTTCATGATACATGTGTTGGGTGAGTATGTATACCTTTGTATTAACTTATGTATACTCTAGCGTGGCTGTATGTATGTGTGTGTATATATACAGGTGTATATCTCAGGCTGTATATACACAGGCTGGATGGTCGTATTTGCTTCCTTCTTGATACATGTGTTGGGTGAGTATGTATACCTTTGTATTAACTTATGTATACTCTAACGTGGCTGTATGTATGTGTGTGTGTGTATACAGGTGTATATCTCAGGCTGTATATACACAGGCTGGATGGTCGTATTTGCTTCCTTCTTGATACATGTGTTGGGTGAGTATGTATACCTTTGTATTAACTTATGTATACTCTAACGTGGCTGTGTGTGTGTGTGTATACACTGGCTGTGTGTGCATATACACAGGTGTATATCTCTATGTATATACACAGGCTGGATGGTCCTATTTGCTTCCTTCATGATACATGTGCTGGGTGAGTATGTATACCTTTGTAGTGGTATAAACCTTGGTAATAAATACCGACAAGTTGGTTTAGAAAGACACGTAAGCAAACACTATGACATATTTATTAGAAAACGTTTCGGTCCTGGGACCTTGATCACTTCTAACATGATCAAGGTCGAACATTAAAATGGTATAAAATACCGACAGGTTGTTAGGTAAGACACATATGCAACAGTTAGGCGAAACGTTTCGAAATAAAGATACCTAAATGATCAAGGTCCCAGGACCGAAACGTTTTCTAATAAATATGTCATAGTGTTTGCTTACGTGTCTTTCTAAACCATACCTTTGTATTAACTCGTGTATACTCTTAAGAGGTGTATATGTACACTGAGTGTATATACACTGAGAGGTGTATATGCATTGAGAGGTGTATATCAGTGTATATACATTGGTGGGTTTAGAAAGACACGTAAGCAAACACTATAACATATTTATTAGAAAACGTTTCGGTCCTGGAACCTTGATCACTTCTGTGATCAAGGTTCAAGGACCGAAACGTTTTCTAATAAATATGTTATAGTGTTTGCTTACGTGTCTTTCTAAACCAACTTGTCGGTATTTATTACCAAGGTTTATACCATATACATTGGTAATTTACATTAATCACTATTTTAGATATTATAGTATTCTTGACTGATTACATTATAGTATTCTTAACTGATTACCCTGGTGCAGTAGATAGTCTTTAAGCCCCATTAATGAGTCCACCATTTGCCTTGTATAGCAGACATAAGAACATAAGAACATAAGAACGAAGGAACACTGCAGAAGGCCTACTGGCCCATGCGAGGCAGGTCCAAGTCTCCTACCGGCTTAAGCCAATGCACCCAACCTAGTCAGGTCAGGTCACATTGACTTAAGGGAGGAACACGGCAACCGACCTGGTAGCACAAGCTATCAGGTCCAACTCACACCCACCCACATCCACTCATGTATTTATCCAACCTATTTTTAAAGCTACACAACGTTCTGGCCTCTATAACGGTACTTGGGAGTTTGTTCCACTCATCCACAACTCTATTACCAAACCAGTACTTTCCTGTATCCTTTCTTAATCTGAATTTTTCCAACTTAAAACCATTGCTGCGAGTCCTGTCTAGGCTAGATATTTTCAGCACACTATTTACATCCCCTTTATTTATTCCCGTCTTCCATTTATACACCTCAATCATATCCCCCCTAATTCTACGTCTTTCTAGAGAGTGCAGATTCAGGGCCCTTAGTCTATCCTCATAGGGAAGGTTTCTGATACATGGGATCAACTTTGTCATCCTCCTTTGTACATTTTCCATAGCATTTATATCCATTCTGTAATACGGTGACCAAAACTGTGCAGCATAATCTAAATGAAGCCTAACCAAGGATGTATAGAGTTGAATAACCTGAGGACTCCTATTATTTATGCTTCTTGATATGAAGCCAAGGATTCTATTAGCTTTATTGCGAACACTTATGCACTGTTGTGTTGGTTTCAGATTACTGCTAACCAGAACTCCTAAATCTTTTTCGCAATCTGTAATATTAAGATCTACATTATTTAGTTTATATGTGGCATGGTTATTGTCCTGTCCAACATTTAGAACTTTGCATTTGTCTATATTAAACTGCATCTGCCACTTCTCCGACCACTGCATCAGTCTATTCAAATCTTCCTGGAGTGCTCGAATGTCCTCGTCAGAATGAATTCGACGGCCTATTTTGGTGTCATCGGCAAACTTGCCGATGTCGCTCTTCATGCCCTCATCTATGTCGTTTATGTAGATTGTGAACAGCAGGGGGCCCAACACTGACCCCTGTGGAACACCGCTCGTGACGCTTCCCCACTCTGATTTCTCCCCATTTATGCAAACTCTCTGCTGCCTATTTGTCAACCATGCCTCTATCCAGGAAAAAATTTCTCCTCCTATTCCATGTGCCTTAATTTTCCTCAATAGTCTCTGATGTGGGACCCTGTCAAAAGCCTTACTGAAGTCCATATACACAATATCATATTCATTACCATGATCTACCTCCTCAAATACCTTAGTGAAAAAAGTTAATAAATTCGTAAGGCAGGAACGCCCCTTTGTAAAACCGTGTTGAGATTCGTTGATTAATTTATGCTTTTCAAGGTGGCTACGAACTGCCTCGGCAATTATTGATTCCATAAATTTTCCCACTATGGAGGTAAGGCTTATTGGTCTATAGTTCGAAGCTAAGGACCTGTCACCTGCTTTAAAAATAGGTATCACATTTGCCATTTTCCACTTATCTGGCACCATGCCAGTTTGTAGCGATATGTTGAAAAGATTAGTCAAAGGTTTGCTAAGCTCCTTTTTACATTCCTTTAGAACCCTTGCATACAGTTCATCAGGGCCTGGGGATTTCTTAGGTTTTAATTTATCTATTTGCCTAAGGACCATGTCACTTGTGACCCTAATCGTGCACAGTTTATTCTCGTCCTGTTCTACATAATTTATCATTACTGGAATATCGCTGGTATCCTCCTGTGTAAAAACTGAGAGGAAGTATGTGTTAAAAATTCTACACATTTCCTTATCACTGTCAGTGAGCTGACCCGAGGAACTTTTGAGTGGGCCTATCTTGTCCCTGATCTTACTTCTGTATACCTGAAAGAATCCTTTTGGGTTAGTCTTCGATTCTCTTGCAACTTTAACCTCATAATCTCTTTTTGCTTTTCTAATTTCCTTTTTTTATTTCTCTCTTTAACTGAATATATCGATTTCTTAATTGCCCCTCTCCTCTTTTGATTTGCCTATATATGCCTCTCTTTTGACCAATCAGATATTTTAATCTATTGTTCATCCAATTAGGATCATTTTTGTTTGATCTGATTTCCCTATTTGGAACATAATTTGACTGAGCAGCTAGAACTATGCCCTGGAAAGCATCATATCGGCAACCATCACCACCTACCTGACCCTTAGTCAGGTCATTCCAGTTCAGCCCACCTAAGTAATTTTTCAGCCCTATGAAATAAGCCAAGGAAAACAGGGACGGGGACTTGATTGCCATTTTTTAGGGGGAATTTGAGAGAGTAACAGTAGCACAGAAAAAACAGTATAAAAACAGTAGTAGGCAGTAACGTAGTAACAAAAACAGTAGTAAAAGGCAAATTTAACAGTGGGCACAGAAGTAACGTTTTGGTAAAAGTACAGCACGAGTAACAGTAGTGAACAGTGAGCAAAGTAACAGTAGCAGCAGAAGTAACAGTAGTAGTAACAGTAGTAGCAGAAGTAACAGCAGCAGAAGTAACAGTAGTGGTAACAGTAGCAGTAGTAGTAACAGTAGCAGCAGCAGTAACAGTAGTAGTAACAGTAGCAGTAGCAGTAACAGTAGTAACAGTAGCAGCAGCAGTAACAGTAGTAACAGAAGTAACAGTAACAGCAGCAGAAGTAACAGTAGTGGTAACAGTAGCAGCAGCAGAAAACAGTAGTAACAATACAGTATAGCAGCAGTAGTAGTAAACAGTAGCAGCAGCAGTAACAGTAGTAACAGAAGTAACAGTAACAGCAGCAGAAGTAACAGTAGTGGTAACAGTAGCAGCAGCAGTAACAGTAGTAACAAGTAACAGTAGCAGTAGCAGCAGTAGTAGTAACAGTAGCAGCAGCAGTAACACTATTAGTAACAGTAACAATAGCAGTAGTAGTTACAGCAGAGGTAGGTAGCAGCAGTAGTAGTAACAGTAGTAACAGAAGTAACAGTAACAGCAGCAGAAGTAACAGTATGGAACAGTAGCGCAGCAGTAACAGTAGTAACAAGTAACAGTAGCAGTACAGCAGTGGGAAGTAACAGTAGCACCAGCAGTAACACTATTAGTACATAACAATAGCAGTAGTAGTTACAGCAGAGGTAACAGTAGCAGTAGTAGTAGTAACAGTAACAGCAGCAGTAACAGTAGTAGTAACAGTAGCAGTAGCAGTAACAGTAGTAACAGTAGCAGCAGCAGTAACAGTAGTAACAGAAGTAACAGTAACAGCAGCAGAAGTAACAGTAGTGCAACAGTTCCCAGCGGGTTAACAGTAGTAACAAAGTAACAGTAGCGAGAGCAGTAACAGTAGTAAAAGTAAGCAGCAGCAGAAACAGTAGTAACAGAAGTAACAGTAACGGGCAGCAGAAGTAACATTAGGGGTAACATTTGCAGCAGGCAGTAACAGGTAAAAAACAGTACAGTAGCAGAAAGTAGTAGTAACAGTAGCAGCAGCAGTAACACTATTAGTAACAGTAACAATAGCAGTAGTAGTTACAGCAGAGGTAGCAGTAGCAGCAGTAGTAGTAACAGTAGTAAGATTTTTTCATGTATACATAGTTACATAGATTACCATACATAGCAGAAATATGTGTAAACAACCTGGGAACTTAACTCTAGCATTCCGCTTTCCTTACTACACTTCCCTTCATTCCCCTGACATGCATGGGTAAAAAGGGTTTCCCAAATATTTTACTGAGGAAAACCCAAAATGATGGGCTCCCCCATTACACTGGGGCATTAAAATTATTTCCCTTCTCAGTTTGTGT